GCGTGGATGCAGCTGCATGTTCCTCTCCAATACTAATGGATACTTGGAAACTAAAGAAAACTAAAGTTGCAAAATAAACATCTCATCTTTTATGAATTTACAGACATCAATAACCAACCTGTTTTAGATAATCATCTTAAAACATTATACCATGATCATCTTGCCCTGTATTTAGTTTGAAAATGCGCACTACTTTATCCATTCTTAGAGACTGCAGAAAAGAGAACCCGTTATAGACACTACTATACAATTGTGCCTGTAAAATAAAAGGTTGAATCGACACCTTGAAACATAACAAAATCAAATGAAATAGTTTTAGCTTTATTAATTTAAGGTTTAAATAAAAGTAGACATAGAAGCATCTAAAATGAATAAAATTACACATTTACTAACTGGCTTGCTGTAAGACCAGCCAAATCATGTTCCATCTAAATTCATAAAAATTCATAGAACAACAAAATTATACGACAAGATATTGTTTTTGCAATGTCAAGCATGAACCACTGAAATATTATTACAAACAAAGCATACCCCTCCAAGAATGGATTGTTCAAAGGTAAGAACAAAACAATGTTACTAAATTGCCTACATATAGAGATTAACAAGGTAATGCCAAATGAATGAGAAAAATGCTTATTATTATATCTATTAAATTACTAAATGGATAACAAATATCCAAGATTGAAACCCTAATCAGATTGTAATAATAGAAAGGGAAAACAATTACCAAAATGTCGGAAGAATCCCCTTGTTTCAATTTTCTTTATCTCATCATGTGAATCTTTAACCTTTCAACAACATATAACCAGAATGGTTAACACGACGATTATTGAAGCGAATACTTTTATCGTGGAGTAGGGCCGGTCCTGATTATTTTTAGGCTCGGGGTGAAAATTAAAAAAATAGGCCTCTAATATAAAAAATTAAGAAATATATAATATAAATATTTTATTAGATTTTTTAAAATTAAAACAAAATAGTAATTCATTACAATATAAAAGATGTCAAAAAATATATTTAAGAATACAAGTACTTATAAAAAAATATTACATTCGAATATTTTAATACAAAACCATTGATGATACTATCAACATCAATGCTTTCTAAAATATTTTTCTCAATACATAACATAGCATTTGAAAATGAAAGAACGATCTTTTCTAGAATTTGGAAATATATAAAATTAAAAGAAAGAATTTGAAAACATGAACTACATAGAATTTTAAGAACAATCTTCATTATTATTCAAGCACCATAATTAATAACAAATAATTGTGACTTTACATGTGATACACATATGATAAATTAAAAAATGAGAATAATAATTTTCAGATGAATTGTGAAACATGAAAGATAAAAAAAGCATATTATTATACTTAAATATTTTCCTCTCATTAAGTTTTGAAAAAAATAATGTTAATAATTTTTTTTCATTGATATGAAAAATCGGGAAAGAGATTTAGTGAATTGATAGTGGGAATTTGGAAAGACTTAAATTAAAGAGTTCAATTGATTTTTTTTTTTGAATTTTGAGAAAGAAATATTAAATTAGAATTTTATGAAAGAATAGTTTATTAACGTTAATATAAAATTCAATAAAGATAATTGACACCTTAATAAATTCATGGCCCCATTATTTATTGAGTAAATTATGTATTTAGTATCTAAATTACCAGTTTTGATATGTTTTAGTACCTAAACTTTTAATTTTTTTCAAAATCATACGTAAATTTTAGTTTTTGTTTCATTTTAGTACCCGCCGTTAAAAACTTTAGTTTTTTATTTCATTTTAGTATTCCATTCAAAATTTAACAATAATTTTTTATTTTGTTATTGAAATTTTAGGTACTAAAAAAAACCAAAATTGATAGTTATTTACTAAACACGTTAAATTTTTAACGACAGATACTAAAATGAAATGAAAACTAAAGGTTATATATGCTTTTGAATTTTTTTAAAAAAATTTAGGTACTAAAACGGATCAAAACTGATAGTATATGTACTAAATGCATAGATTACTCTATTTTATTTTACAATCTTTTAATTTATTATCAGAAAAATAAAAAATATTATACTGAAAAAAATTATTTTGTGGATCCTGGGCAGATGCTCCTCCTGCAATGGCCCAGGGCCGGCCCTGTCGTGGAGGAGGTGGAGGAACACGTGATTTCGCCATTCCCACCCTTGCAATGATTCCGACAGAAAGGATTATCCATCCAAATACATCATACTTCAAATCACTGCTCTTCTTCTTGGCAGCCTGAAAATATACAAGTAAATCAGCCAAAATCTTCTATGAATTTAGAGAAAATTGAAGGGATACTGTCATATTGCAATGTTTCTTTGGGCTCTGTCAATCAGTTTAATTGGCGAAAGAGAACGTATCAAAGACGAGATGGAAGCATGGTAAATAGCAATTGGATTACCTGAGAGAAAACAAAGAGTGAAAACGAAAAAAATATATATAAATTGAAACAAGGGGAAGCGTTTTCGATTTCAGGTGAAGGAAAAAGATTTGATGGAGTGGCGAAGTGGAAAAGATTATACAAGGGAGAGGAATGGAATCCACGATGATTCGCTTTATCTTGATGGGTGTGGTGGTGAAGGCCACGACCGCGTTGAACGGTGGCAGCCAGCTGCAGTTTCGTGTGTTATTTCATTAAACGGAGGAAACCAGGTAAAGAAAAAAAATATGAAAAAGCTGGTGCGTTTAGGTCACGGAAGGTAAGATTACCTGGAAATAAAAGATTACCAGGGAATAGGATTACCGGGAATATTGTATTTTGTGTTTGGTTAGTTTAGCAGGAATGTAAGATTACCGTGTTTAGTTAAAGGAATAAAAGATTATTGGAATATATATTTGATCAAATTGTCCTTGTTATATATTTGTATAATATTACAAATTGTAAAATATTTATATATTTTCTTTAAAAAATTAAATTCATAATATTTATATAATTTTTTTATAAAATTAAAAATATAAAAAATGTTTAATGAAAGGGTAAATTTTTTATAACCCCTTAACTTCATATAAAATTTTAATTATATATTTTTTTTTTGTAAATCTAAAATAATTTAAGGATAAATTTGTAATTTAACCTTCGTAGAATTTTTATTATTCAATGACAGAAGAATGATATTTTTGAAAAATAAATAAAACTTTAAGGGTATTTTAGTCCAAAACGCTGGTAATGTTACAATACCTAAGGGAAGGGTGATAATGACATTACCGGTAATATACCACAAAAAATCTACTATTGGTAATAAAACATTACCGGGAATGAGATTCCCGGCCAACCAAACATGGGAATGTGGGATTCCCATCCCATGGGAATCCCACAATCCTTAAACCAAATACCCCTAAAGGGTTTAACTAGATAAAAGACTCAAAAGTTGCGGCGTTTTCAATATCAATGCCACTAATGTGCTTAAAATTGTAGCATTTAATAAAAAAAATGTCATTATATATGAATCTTATTACAGCGTTTTTAATTATAAACGCCACTAATGTTTTGAAAAATTGCGGCATTTGAAAAACGCTACTATATATGATCTCTATTACAGTGTTTGTTTAAAAACGCAACTAAAGTATGAGTCTTTAACGACGTTTGTTATAAACGTGATATATGTAAAAACATTGTGGCGTTTATGGTATGTTTTTTCACCACATTTATGGCACATTTTCAGTCGTTTGTCCAATACTTTCGTTTATCCTTTTCTTCATGATTGGATTTGACATCACCAAAACTGATTTTTTGTGACGTTGTTATAAATACCGAAATATGTAAAAACTTAGTCGCGTTTATAGTACATTTTTCTCCACGTTTATGGCACATTTTCAGTCGTTTGACTTTTACTTTCGTTTATCCTTTTTTCAGGGTTGGATTTGACATCGACACGACTGATCAAGATGATACTTTATTTGTTTTCATGTCAATCTTCCTTGCTTTGGACTCTCGTATTTACGATTTATTTCGGTTTAATTGGTTTAAGCTGGTAGTATTTTTTTCGTCACTCAATTCTGATTTACGATTTATTAATGGTCTTTCAATAGCTGCATCAACTTTTGTAGTTCATTTACTGATGCGATCAGATCTATTCATATTTACTGTTTATCTAAGATTATTTAATTAGATTTTTTAACCTTTTTTTATAGTCCTTGTAATCTTAAATGGTTAGTTTTGACGTGTTTAAGAAAACATCTTTATTATGTATTTAGTTTACGATTATGATTATAAATTTTCATTATAATTTAGAAATTTTTATTTGTAATAAAAAATTAACGTCTTCTATTGAAAAAAAAAGCTAAAACAAAACAAGCACACGTGAATCCACATGACCTGACCCTGAAGGATCATCAATTCCTTGTCATCCGGATTCAATACTCATTTACTTCTACGTAATATCTTGTAAAATCAAGCTCTTACTTCACCTGCAAGATACCGATCGTACAACGAGCGGTAGCAAAAACATGCGACGGAAAAACAAAGAATACCAGAAACTCCTTGCTCCGACATCCATGATGCATATATCTAGACACGCAAACCTTCGAAACACGAAGACAATTCATACCGATATTGAAGATATCCGGGTTTGTAGAACCCGAGCCTGACCGAATAAAGTAGATTCGTAATGCAGTGTAAGGCTCGAGAGACAGATAAAACATATAATATTCAGATTTGTAAGTCAACTTTGAGTGTTGATCTCAAAAAAAATTCAAATCAGATTCTCCAGCAAGAAACACAAGTATTATACTATTATTATTCAAAATCACAGAATTTTAATGAACATGATGTATCTGGTGGAAACAGTACACATGACCAGGTAAGTTGCTGTGCAGGCTGTAGGCTAATTATTTGAGAGCCACGGCAAAAAATTTGCACGGTAAATTTAATCTACCCCGCTGACTTCAAATAGCATACAACGGTGCAGGGCTAAATTACAGGGAAAGTTAAAACTCCGGAGATTCGACCGCTGTGAACACAAAACATTGTTCGGTAAAATGGCCTTGATGGAAGACAGCAACAAGTACTTGTCCCTATAGCCACATATAGAGTGCTCGAAATCGAATTTTTATCCAGAAGATCTTTTAAGCTTTTCCTGAGCGTCTAAACCTGCAACCTGCTCCACTAAACTGCACAAGGGGAAAAAGGATTTGGAATCAGTTTCACAGAACTTCAATGTTTCTATTAATCATTATTCGATTAACGAACCAAGAACATATCGAAACATGATAATAAACATACTAGGGAGATCCTGAATCTGGTTGATTTGGAATCATGGCAGCTGGTTTCTCCGAGAATTGAACTGAAATTAGACCTCTGTTCAGTGCTCCGGCTCCGGCTGGCACGGGAGATTCTTCGTAACTTGTCGGTCTACCTCCGGATGACATTCCTGCACAAAAACAACAAACAAATTTTATGCTGCATTCAACTGGCTCTTGCAAGATAGGTGATGATACTGAATCCAAGCATCTTTACCGGAAATCTCAAAGAAATATTACCTTGAAAGATCATGACAATACAAAAAATGACAGTAAACACGGTTGCAACTTACAAGCACGTTGTTGCTGCGTGAACTTGTTCCCTCAGCAGCCTTCATCTTCTTCAAGGCTTTGATCCGCTCGATCCTTGCATGCTTCAATCTCGCAAGTTCCGCTATCTCCTTAATTATCTTCTGGTCGGCCGCATCCAACGACGGAGGTCTAGGAGGCTTAGGAGGTTTCTTATGGCTCAAGCTTTTACGTTTTCCTTCGACACTAATCTATTCTCCTTTCCATCCTTATCACAATTCGAGCTCGGCATTGCCTGCAAATCCTCCACATACACACTACCACAACTCGAAACATCACCGGGCAACAACGGCACAACGAAATAGCCTCTACCATTAACAGCTACTCCATTTTCAAGGTCAAATTCTAAAGCTTTCTCTCTAGGATCCATCTAATCTATCACTACAAACTGTCACAGTCCTAATCACATACACATTACAAAAATCAACTTGAAGAAGCAAAAATGGTGAATTTCCTCGGATTAAACTCACAAATTTAACTCAGTAAACACGCCAATGAGCAGACCCTGCATTCATCAACAGAATATAAAAGAGTTTTTCAATCTCAAAATACTAAAATTCACATAGAAAAATTTAAAAAAGAAATCAAGATTCCTTGGGAAATGAACCAAAGGAGGAGTTTTTGATGCATAAAAAGAAGGGATTGAAACCCAGAAAATGTAGCAATCGAAACCCCACATTCAACAATACCCAATATAGAAAAAAACAAGCTTTATCAGATAAAAATAATAATTAGTAAGTAAATTTATAAAAATAATAGACCTTTCAGAGAAAGCATGGAAACCCCAGATCCAATGCTAAGGGACAATGCTCCATAAACCATGTTTGAAAGAATTTATAGATATAGAGTGAGTAATTAATGCAATTTAGCGGTTTTACAGCTTTCCATTAAACAAATTTAATTTGAAAAATGGAGGGGGGAATCGGGTAGGTACTCGATAAGTGGGAAATTGACAGACGAGACAGAGTCATTTGTTTGATATAAAATATAGGAACAAAGCAACCTTTAGTCCCTAAATTTGGTAGAGTTTTCAAATTAATCTTTAATTTTTGTCTTAATACACTTTTTAGTGCCTGAATTATACCTTAAAATATGATTTGGTGCCTAATTGTTTTTGCTAACAACAGGTGCCTAACATTTTCTCCGTTACACTTTGAAGTCTCTACAGTTTTTTCTGTTATACTTTTAGGTATCTATTATTATACTTTTTAATTTATCAATAATAAAAATATTACTTTAAAAAATATAAACCACGCGCCGTCTCTCCCATCCCACACCGCCGACCGCGAAAGGTCACCACCGTTCAGATTTTGTTTTGAGCAGGAAGAGAAATTCAACATTAACGGCCATGTAACACACAAATGATTGTAGCAGTCAAAGTCGTTGAAAACAACAACAAAAAACTTATAAATTTGGTGACATATGCGGCATTTTTCACAACAATTAGTGTAGTTTCACAGTGGGTAGAGGAATGGATTTTGATTGCGACGGCGAGATGATTTTGATTGTGTTAATGGTAACGGCCATATACCGACGGTGGTCTATCGGCTGCGGAAGATGTAAAATTTGGAGGGTTTTTTTAAACTATAATATTAAGTTTTTTAAATAAAATAATTTTTGAAATTTTATTTGCGTGACACATGTTAAATAACGATCAAATTTAACGTCTGTTATGGGCTAGACACCTAAAAGTGTAACGTTTAAAACGTTAATCACCTATTGTAAGCAAAAAAGTTTTTTAGGCACCTCTGTTTTGAAAACCGGACCGGATCGGCCGGTTCAATCGGGAACCGTTGCTTAGTCCGGTTCAATCTAAACCGGTTGAACCGCTATTAGTGAACCGGCCAGAACCACTGAACCGTTCGAACCGAACCAGCTGAAAACCGGAAAAAACCGGGATTTTTGTTTTTTTTTTTAAAAAAAATTAAACCAAACAACGTCGTTTGTTAAACGAGTCAAGTCGAACTCGAGTATTGCTGAGCTCGACTCGAACTTGAAAACTTTAAAAGTAAGCTCAACTCAACTCAAACTCACAAGCTAAAAATTATCAAGTTCAACTCAAACTCGAAATATAATATTGAAACTTGAACTCAAAAAAAATTAGAAGCTCGATTGAAGCCTAAAATTCGAGCTTGATTGAAGTGAAAGAATAGTTCACTCAATGCTCACCAAAAGGCTCCATGATTTTGAATGTCAAATTACCTCTATTATTTATAGAAGTTAGTTGTGATGCGCTTCTATGTTTCTTAGCAATGTGAGATTGTTTTGTTCTCATATTTTTACTCTTTAGACTTTTGGGATGCTCTTCTATATTTCTTAGCCATGTGGGATTGTTTAAAAAAAAAAAATTAAACCAAACAATATCATTTTGTTATGATTTTTTTAACCCCAAATTTATTTTTTAATTATAGTTATATAATTATATTTATTATTTAATATGTTTTACCTTAAATATTATGTTGTAGTTAATTTGAATCATTTTGTTTCACTTGATTTTATGGTTTTTAACTTATATATGTTATGACTTGCTTTGAATATGACTTGTGATATAAAAAATTATTTTTTATTAAATATTTTTGGTATTTTTATTTAATTTTTTAAATAATTATGACGTTGTCCGGTTCTTCGACCGGTCGAACCGGTTCGACCGGTTGAATCAGTGAACCGGTAACATGACCGGTTCGCTAACCGGTCCGGTTCTGAAAACCATGTTAGGCACCAAATTATTTTCTGAGATATAGTTTAGACACTAAAAAACGATTAAGCATTAATTTTTTTGTCCAAATTAATCTTTGAAGTTGGATTTTTCTTCATTTTGATGACACGATCTCATAGTAAAATGTCCTAAAAGTTATCGAAGTTTAAAGTTGTCAAATTTAAAGACTAACATGAATGGAAAGGTTCAAAGACCAAATTAGAAAACATTGTCAAATTTTATGGACTAAATGATACTTTATCCCTAAAACATAATATGAAAAAACTAAAATTCACACATGCTTGTTTATTATAACTATATATGTTTAGAGTTTAGGATTTTAAGATATTATTTGTTTAAAAAAAAATTTACTCAATTAATAATCTATATATCTTACATAATTACTCGAATATGAATCTTCTAGAAAAAAATAAAATTCTCTTTTATCACCGGGACAATTAAATATGTTTGATTTTAGATTTTAATATTCAAATAAGTAACATTATATAAGCTTTAATTTATACAACTTGTATAACAGATAATATGTACATAATATAAGTTTATCAACTTAAATTACATTGGCTAGTGATGGACAAGTTAGTTATGTCATCAATTAGAATAGGTTAAACAGATTGATAATCGATAAATTCCATAAACAAATCCATTAATTTAACTAATTTTAAGGTAATTTTATGAGAATACTATGTTTTTCATTATTTTCATAAATAACATTTAAAAAGACTATTATTTTTATAAAAGGGTGTTTAGTAAATAATACCTTTATTGATGGGGTAGAAATTTTGGACGAAACTTCTAAAGTCAGTAGCAGCATTTATGATCAAAATGAAATAAATAAAAATAATGGGGCCAAAACTATAAAAAAATTACATAAAAACATACACGACACATAAACATGAACGCGATAAATACCTAATATTATTGTATATTACATTTAATTTATTTTAGATTTTGTTATAATACATAATAAGTTTTTAATATATGGATTACTGAATTTGTCTAATTGATATCAAGTCGATTTAATAATGTTAATCACGACTTATAATAATCGATTAATTGATTAAATTCAAATATAGTTTCATTAAATCGTTTATTATTTTAATCGAATATGCTGAAAAATTTAATCGTTCTCCGATTTTTAGTATGATAAAAGTATTTATTGGGTTGGAAGGATTATTTTTATCTCTACGATAATCAATTCAAATTAATCGATCGGTAGATAAAATATTTTAATCGAGGTGTGTCAATCAATATTGAAAAGCTTAGAACCGATCACATGCTTTGAATAAAGTTAGTGACAGCAACTTTTAACATGATAAAATATTTTGATCCTTATGAAGAATTCATATTATTTATTATATTTTATGAAATTTATTATTCGTTCATGATAAATTTTACGTATATTGTAATAGATGATTTAAATTCTGAATTAATTTTAAACATCTATATTTTAAGAAAGAGTCTCATTTGAATTATTTAGCCAACAAAATTCATCATATTCGTTCATTCACAATCTATGTTGAAATTTAGAAAATTAAATATAAAAACCATATTAAACTCAATATTTGTTAATTAATAAAATATCTTCTAAAACTAACTTCTTATTATGTTTCATTAAAAACCCTAAAAAATTAGTTTTCTCTTAGTGTGCCATTCATCTTTTTTTTTGATCGACAGTGGCACCAACTTTAATGTTGGTTGCCAACCATCGTTATTCTTTATTTTTTTCTTTTTCTATATTTCATCTTTAGTTTCTTTAATTTTTTTATTTTTAATATGTTTGTATGTGTTGCACGTTTTTATATGCCTTTGTGGCACATTTTCTTATGTTTTTTTTGCATGTTTTTCAGTTTTTTGACCCTTTTTTATTTATCTTTTTTCTAAGTGTTGATTTGACATTGTCATAACTGATAAAAATAACTTTTTTTTGTATAGTTCTTATGTGATCTTAAGTTCTAGTTTCGTTTCAATGATTATAGGAAATTTTCTTAATTATGTGCTTAATTTAAGATTGTGATTGTAAATATTTATTGTAATTTGAGATATTTCATATTTTGAATAAAAATTAGTTGATTATATATAAAAAAATCTTCTTATGAACCTAAGAATTTTATTTATATTTCTACTTTTTTATTATATGTATTTAAAATCGTTAGAAATTATGATATAAATTTTATTTTAATATGGCCTCAATCTCGCAAAGGACATAAATAAAGCGAGTGACAAAAGATTTGAAGATATTACCAGAGAGCCGCGAAGGGTAAAATGGATTAAGCTGTCGACTGATCACCTCAAGCTTAACTCCGATAAGGCATACAACAGAGAGTAGGGTATCACCGCAGTATGAGGCCTAATAAGGAACGAAAATGGAGATTGGGTTATGGGATACACAATCAACGTCAGTAATTATTCTGCTATAACAGCTGAACTATGGGGATTAAAAAAAGGTCTCACCTTAGCAAAAAACCTTGATCTGAGAAATTTGATGGTTGAATCAGATGCGAGGGAGGCAATCGATTTACTCAACGGTGAAGAATCAGTTGACCTGCAAATTTAAATCTTAGTGAAAGAATGTAGAGACTCTTTACGAGATTTAGAGATAGAGGGCGTCAAACACATGCAGAGAAGGTGACAAGAGTGGCGATTGGCTTGCAAAGTCGAGTCTAAACAAAGAAAGGAACGTCAAATC